ATGCCATTCCTAACATTGATCAAACACACAAATCACATGATATTTTTACAAATTATTTACGTGACCATGGCATAAAAGTACTTTATGTAAAGCCTCTTCTTCTTAATACACTTACTTATAGTATCAAAGCTTGTGATGCATTAATTGAAGGAATTATTGAAAACAGTTTATTCAATAAAGATCAAAATAATCAAGAACTATTAAACGCTCTTCGTCAATGGTTAATGCAACGTACACCTGAACAATTAGTTGAAGATGTTATAACTGGTGTGGCTTGTACAAAAGATGAATTAGGAAACTCACATTATGCTCAAGTTCTTTTGCAAATGCGTGATCAAAATACTGAATTTATTATTCCACCATTGCCTAATCTTTTATTTACACGTGATTCTTTTTCAATCATTGAAAAAAATGTATTTATTTGGCATATGGCTAAACCAGCTCGACAAAATGAACCACTAATTATGCGTATCATTTTTCAATATCATCCACAATTATCAACTTCTGGTTTGAATATTGTTGAATGGGAAACAAAAACTAATGATCATGAACATTCAACTATTGAGGGTGGTGATATAGCTTATATTGGTGACGGAGTTTTACTTATCGGTTGTGGTGAACGAAGCAATCGAACTGGTATTGAAGCCCTAGCACGTACAGGTCTTTTCCGTCAAGTTATTGCTGTTTCTATACCAGCACAACGTGACTATATGCATCTTGATACTGTTCTTTCTACAGTTGGTAAACATGCATTTACTTTACATAGTTTATTAGCTAATCAAATGGAAGTATTTACAGTGCAAACTCATGACCCTAATAATAATATTCTTTCTAAACCGAAATGGATTTCACATGGATTTGATATTCGCCAAGTCCTTCGAAACCTACTCAATGATTCTGAATTAGTATTTTATGATGCGGAAGATGAAGAAACATCTATTATAGAACAAAGAGAATGTCGTCATAATGTATTAGTAGTTGATGATTGTCATATTGTTACTTATGACGGTGGTGATTCAGAAAAAAGCATTGTTGCTCAAATGATCAAACACAATGCTTGTGAAGTGGGTTTAATTCCAACTGAAGGTTTATTAGAAGGTTGTGGTGGTATGCATTGTATGACGAACACAATTCGGCGGAGACGTTAATTATCGTACATTTTTGTTTGCTTTTGTTCTATTAATATCTCTAATATTTTCTTTATTTTTTCTTTTCTTTCTTTCTTGTATAAAAACACTCCAAGTATCATTTTTTTCAAGAGGAAGTGTTATAAACATATTCTTGACTAAGAATTATTCACGAAACAAAAAAATTGTTTAAGATATCTACTTATCTGATCACTGCTTTTTTTGGGGGTGTGGTGAAAGGCAGAAAGTGAAATCCTACATTGATATATCTACGGAGAGAAATAAAGAGTTTATGTTTTATCTTTTACGAAAATTCAAAAAGGATGCGTATATATCTATATGGCGTAATTTGAGTCTTTTATAAATACTCTTAAAAAAGCAAAAGTGATCCATAGATCTATGTTTTTTTTAGAGAAAGAAGTTGACATATTGGTATATAATGAAAGATAGTTACTGAATGTGAAATATCGATGTTGCGAATCAGTGAAATATAATAATTAATAAACTATGAGCGAACAAATAAGATGTATTGTGAAACTACTTCTAAATGTACATAGAAAACTTGATCTTCAAATAAACGTCGTCATTATATTTTATTTATTAGCTTTACGAAATAAATAATTCAACTTCGTAATAGAGAATTAATTCATACATAGGTTTCTTTCGCTCTGTAAGTATTTGTGTTGTACTCGTATAATTCGATCGAATTCATTGAAAATAATTATAGTCACAATGTATGAGGTTAATAATGATACTTTTTCTAAAGTTATACGAAAGCATACCAATGATAATGAACTAGTGTTTGATAATGATCAAGTTGAAGAAATAGCTAAAGAAGAACAATAAGAATACCATCTTAATGTAGTAACGATGAAGGAACAATGTGCGATTACTTATGCATGTGGTGATTTAGAGAAGGTTTTGATAGTTCAAGTAACTCGTAAGAATATCTATTGAATCAGTGAAACTTCTAGCTCAAGGTCTAGAATAATTGTGTATTTTTTTATAAAAAATTTTTTTTCATTAGTAGCTATTTCGAGTGTCAACTCAATCTGATTTTTATTATGAATGGTTTTAATACTGAAGTGGATTCTTTTTGTGCATAATAAGAAGTTTCAATCGAAAAATTTTGGATTTGATTGTATATTGTATTTTAAGAAATATACCTGCGTAATATGTTACAAATTGGAAAAAAGAACACTTAATGCGTAATTGAATATAAAATAAAGCAAGACGTGCTTATCTGTTTTCTATTTTTTATCTACATAGTAAAGAACGAGCAAATTCAGCGAAAAACAATTACGATGTTCTTATCTTTTATCGTGTGTGGCAAATGATTGCTGTAGACCAACCATGTCGTAGGCAAAGCGTGTAATCAGGGAATATGACGTGCAAACAGGCACGTATTCAGGATCATCATGACAACAATATTATTTCGTAGTTTTCACATTTTTGTTTTGAAAAAATGTTCCTTACTGTAAAAATGTTGATTTCCAAAATTAATATTTCAAAAGATTAAAAGAAATTCAAAATAGATCATACAATTTTATTTTATTGTTTATTCAGGACTCATGATGTTTTTAAGTCTTATTTTATCTCCTTTCTTTTATTTCATGTTCTTCATGAATATTAAACTTTTCACCATGAAACCACTTGATGTTTAGTTTTTATTTAATTATACATTATATTATGATCTGTGCATGTAAATAATAATGGATAATAGATGTTACTTTTGAATTCTAATAGAGTTTGTATCAGAATAACACTTGTATATGATGTGTATCGTGAATTGCGTAATTGAAGTTCGAATCTAAATGAAGATTCAAGTTGCTGACATTAAGTTTATAAATGAACATTTCAATTTCGTATTCGATCGTTGAACTTTTTTAAACAGTTTTTAATAGACTTGTGTATGGACAATTCACTAGTCCAAGTGTATCCGGCGTATTTAAAGTTGTTTACACACTCGAATAGGATATCGTTCAATAATACTGATAGGGAATATCGATTAATTTGTGCCTAAAACACTTGATAGACCAATTTAGAGATATTGATTTATTGTAAGAAACCTATCTTATGAGATGTTATGATTCGTGGCTTTTATGAATCATACAGATCAATGCGGCGAGTTGGAACGACCACATAACGAAGCGAAAGATGACTCTTCACGGGACTCGAACCACGTACTTTCTGCTATCCGGGTAGATGTCCTAAGCCAGTTAGACTAGAAGAAACATCTCATCTTCGTCTTATGTACAGAGGGGAACACTCTGTACATAACATGAGACATAATCATACTTGAACTAGAGATGAGCAGAGCAAAAATGTTCTATGACTACCCTATGTATCTTATTGCACGATGCTTGAGCTTTCAGAAGTTCGTCAATTTGACTCTGAATTATATATGGATAAAAAAATTTCTATCGACTGCACTGATGAGTACAAGTCTTGATATGCGTGTTCTAATAATATTAGCTTCAGTTCTCATTTGCATCCTATATTAATGGTGTTTCGTCATAGCTTGCAAACGCCGTCCTACCTTCGCCATCAGCTAAATTCCGACCACTCTCACTCTTATATAAAATAAATCTAATTTAATTCTGTATTCAGTTTTTTTCTACAACAATTACTTATCACTTGCTTTTCTCGATTCTTGATAAAATTGCATCTCAACAAAAACTAAATCAAAGATTGTTTCAGTATGGACAATGCACCTACCATGATATTATATTAGACAAAAATCACTTTCTCACTTACTTATGTAGTGATGATAAATGATTCCTTGGAGAAGAGTTGATCTGCTGAACAATAGCTTGGTGACATTGGCTTCCATAAAGAATGAGTCCATTCAGTTCGATTTCTAACTTTATTCAAATGCATATTCGAGCAAAACTATTGTAAATCTTGGCAAATATATTTTGTAAGTGAGTTCTCATTTCAAATCATACTTGATATCAATTTTTCTTGAATCAGTTGATTTCTCTATAATATGTTTGGAAGAAAAAAAAATTTAATACAGAAAATCTCATCTAGAATAGCAAAAGTCAATAAAAAAAGGAAAAAACTGACTTTCTATTGGTGTTCAAGACATGATAACAATGAAGTTTATATCTTATATAAATGTCTTAGATCTTAGTCAAACTGATCACTATAGTTCATATGAATAGATAATGAACAGAAAGGTTCCTTTTCACGTATGATCGAAAAATAGAGTCATGCGGAAGGAACTTGTTTGATTTATCAATGAATCCACATTTCGACAAGATTCATTCTGTCTTTTAATCTTCAAACAACGTCCGTAAATGATAAATTAATTTTTAAAAAACTCAATAAACTCATCCTTTTCACAGTGAGCAGAATGCACATCATCTGCACATTGACAAATGAATACACGACGATTAAGCAATGCATTAACAAGATAAAGAACATTAGATCGACTTTCTATCCATATTGAAAACAAGCTCGTTGTATCTCAATTCAAAATTAAGTCGACGAATCAATTTATTAATTATCTCTACTACAAACAATCGCAAAGCAAATTCATGATTGACTGGCAATGAATGGAGACACTATGTTCAATCCAATAACACGTGCAATTCGCTTATTGGAATTCTTTTGAGCACATAAACAAACAGAGATATCAGTTGATTGAGATTAAGAAGGAGCAACACGTATTTTTCCATTATAGTGCCATCGTATATTTAAATATTTGATGTTAGGAAAATTAAAAGGATATGATGAACAAGTTAACAACGAGATGTGTTGCACAAGTAATGACACACACATAATTGTACGATGAATAGTTTTGATCATCCGAACAAGTCGATTTTCATCGACTGTATGCACGAAAATCGGTAAAGTCATTGAAACTATATGGTAAGATGGGAAGTAGTATGTTCTCAGTTGGAACCCAATGCATGTGAATCATCGATTCAAAATAGCATCGAACATACCAATAATCGTCTTTGAGTCAAAATAGACTCGAGATGTATCTAAAAATTTGTCGATTTCTTCAGCTACTTTATCTTTATAATAATATTTGAAAGCGAATGTCATTCAAAAATGAAACATTTTGATTTGTGATAAATAGTTGATGACGATTTGTTCCCAATCATTTTCATTCAAGTAAAAATCCGAGACATCGATTGCTAAATGATACAAAGTCAGCATATTGTGAAACAAAAATACCATTCCAACTTGTGAAGAAACCTTTATGTTAAGTTTTATTATCGATGGATATACGTCTATGAATGAAAATGAATAATTCTTCTCAGATGATGCTGTGAAAAAGAGGTGTTGCAGTCGAGGTGTGTATTTAAATAGATTTGGCAGGTGTTGAATATAATCAAAGACCAAACTAACAGAAACAAACTTAATTGTTGATGACTGGACTCTCAGATCCTTAAGTTTTCAAATGAATAAATCGATCAGATCTAGATCACAATGCGTTAATTTCGATAGATTTAATTAACATGCATTGAGATATTTCAGATGAGTTAGATGCATTGGATAGAACGAATTCTCGAGCACAGCGTTATTTAAGACAGTGACAATATGGGATAAAGAAAGTGATCATACATTTGTGTTTTGTTATGAGTAATATGAAAAGATAGAAAATGATCAAATAGATTCGAAGTTTCTTCATCATCAGTCAAATGAAGTTGAACCATGTTATTCACAATTTGTAGCTAGTAATGTCGACATAATTGATCAAAATCATTTATAGACACATGTTGAAGATCCAAACAATAATTTCGAAAATGAAAATTGAGTAGAATGTTCAACCAAGTATTGAAATCGCTAATGACACGAAGAAGATCAATGGTATCGAGCAGATCGAATAACGTAGTCAAAAGTTTATTGAGCAACTTTTTTAAGAGCATCTTTTCTTTGTCAAGCAACAATACATTGATATTTTTTTACTTCTTTAGCTAGTAAAAATTGCAGTCGCAATCACGTATTTATTTTATGGTGTTCGTCAAACGCTATGACCATTGCCATGCTTTAGAAGAGTGTCATTCGTTTTCTTTTCTGTCACAATGGCAATGAACCAATAGAAAAAAAATCCTTTTTTTTTCACTCTCCATACATACTTTTATCCGTAGTAATGAATGTTATGATTCTGAAAATGAAATTCAAGTAACGGTTTAGCTATATTTCTATGAACAACGAAGAAAAAGCAAGGTTTATGTGGAATGCAATTGAAGCTAATTGTTGCAAGAAACATAATACAAAAATTGTATTCATCCAAATTGTGGATAGAAACAAATTGTTCGATGAGATTAGTTTTGATTATGACTTACTTGAAGAGTCAGTATAAATGTGAATTAAAGTTTTCTAGTCACAGCTTCCCGTATCCAAAATTCTTTTCAGTTAAGTAATAGAAGAAAGAAGATCTAATCCAAAAACACGACATTTAAAAGTTGGGTAAGCTAGGATGATGGTATGGCTTGTATTTGTCAAGGAATTTGGCTTATTGGATATGATGAACGAATAAATCGAAGTAGTATTGAAGCGCTTGCACGTACAAGTCTTTTTCGTCAAGTTATTATTATTGTTATACCACCACAGCTTGATAATATGCATATTGATACTGTTCTTTCTATAGTTGGCAAACACACATTTACTTTACATAGTTTATTAGCTAATTAAATGAAAGTATTTACAGTGAAAACTCACGATCTTCATAATAATATGTTTGTTGAAACAAAATAAACTTCACGTGGATTTGTTATTCATCAAGAATTTTGAAAACTACTCAATAGTTCTGAACTGATATTTTATGGTGTTGAAGAGGAGATAATATTGATGCAGAACAACGAGAACCTCTTCATACTGTACTAGTCCTTGATGATGATCATATTTTGAATTATGTATGCAGGCAACGATTTAGCAAACAATATTCTTGCTTAAATAATTTATAACAATAGTTGTAAAGTCCATTAAATTTTCACTCAAAGTCTGGCAGAAAGCGTTGACGATGGTATTTGTATAAACATGATTTATATAACTTTTTGTATTTATGTTTTGTACTTATGGTCTATTGAAAATTACTACATATCAAATAAAAATATGTTTTGATATGATATAATATTTTTTTTCTTTCTAAATATTCTTTTTTTAACATGATAATTGTCCATAAGAAAGAATCATAAGTATCAATAAAGATCATCGTGCATTAGACAGCAATTGGAAATTAATGTTATATTTTATATCTAAAAACTATCTGCGTGATATCTTACAGAATAGAACAAGAATGATATAGATATAGGTCAAGTACAGTTAAATAGAAAATGAAACATATTTGTTTTGTAGCTGGCTATCTTGAAGAACAAAACAGAATGAAAAATTTGATGATATTGTTTTATTTACAGACTTTTGTTGTTTGTGGCAAATATTTGTTCTCAATCATCAACAATAATGATGAAATGAATTCATCGTAGTATGATACAGAAAATATGCATAATTTTGCAGTGAGATTCACAATGGAACATGAAAATTTAATACATAACATCTTCTTCATCAATAAATATTTACTTAAAAGAAGAGAACTAAAATCTGCCATTAAAAAAAAAATTCCGTTATGTTTTATGATTCTTATCGATGTCATTTTTTTCCAGATACAATCAAATAGTATAAAGCAAGAGAATCTATTGTAGATTTCTAGAAATTCATTCGTAAAGCACTGCTTAGCTCGTATTTTTTATTTCATTTGATAAACGATTGATATTTATTTAATTTATCATTCTTTTCATCATTTAGATTGTTAAGAAATCGATATAATTTTATTTATAGTAGACATAGAAAATTATTTATGTATGCATCCAATTATTTAGTACGTTATTTAATCATTGAAAAAAAAACTCTTTCTTGAACAAAGTAAATGCATGAAAAATCAAAATATAATCACCATTTGGCATAATGATTTTCCGCAACTCCAAAACCATTTTCAATCACATATGTATGATCAAATAATTCCAAAGTTCCATTATAAATACCAAAAGCTTGAACAAAATCTCCAGTAACAAGAAACATATTAATATGTTCCTCTTGACTACCCCATGGTTGAAAAGTAAGACGTAGCTTAGGAGTGTTAGAATTAATATCTCCTGTAGAATAGATTTGCCATGATTGACTTGTTATATATTGTTTATCAGGTAACTCATAAATAATTCGATTAACTGTGTGAACTTGTCCACCTATCCTGTATTATAGAATTGATTACAGTAATTCGATTTTTATGTTTTATTAAACTCACCAAACAGCATTTTCCATTGAAATACCATTATTATCATTGTAAACGATATCAGAAAGATTTATACCAATGGTAACAGATTCATTATTTGATGAATTAATTCCTACTACCGAAAGAGAAACCCTAAAATATTTCAATCAAAATAAAAATATTCTTTTGTGATTAAGTAATTACCATTTCCAATGAGATCGTCTTTCTGAATATGCTAATGTCCAATCCATACTACTAAGTCCATCAAGTAACTCTTCTTCCTTATTATTATTTATCTTTATTTTTCCTCGAGCAGATAAACCAGCCATTTTATGTGTATAGGCTGGACGAGTTTCTTCAACGGGATAAACTAAAACCAATGATTGATCTTTTTCATTTGAATAGTCTGCTTTAAAATCAAATGATATTTGAACACCATCATTCATTGGTACATTTCCATTGACTTCATAGACTTTTTCTTTAGTATTATAACAAAGACGAATATATTCTAATGAAGATTGATTAAAATGAGTGCATCCATCAATAGATGATTTAGCTTGTTCTTTAATAGCTTGTGCTAAAAAAGATCTACTCGCATATTGATAAAATTGTTTTTCTCGATTTGTTCGATCAATTACATAGACAAGTGCATTAGCGACATAATTAAGATTAGCTATACCAGTCGCAATAAAATAACGCGAAGTTGAAATAGAGTTAAAAGTCCAATGTTTAAGTGCAATAAAATTGAATAATTTCGATGAAGAAACCCATGAATAATCAACAATCGAAACCGGCTTCGTATAACGCCCAAACTCATTTGTTTTCAATGGAAAACGATCTTGAATAGGACCAAGATATTTTGGCTTTGGTAAATTTATATATCGAGCATTTTCTATAATACCAAATAAAATTGCAAATAAAGGCACTAAAATGGTGATAATAGCAATAAAACGAAACATGTCTATTTACTGATGAAGACCTATATTATAATTTTATCTTTTTCAACAATATATTTTGATAAGCTGAAAACATTTTCCTTTTTCGTTCTTATCATGATGGTTTTTATTTTATTGAAAAAAAAAAACAAAAAAAAAATATATTGATGAACACAGTTAAATAATGCTTGAACATATTACTTTTTGTCCATTGCATTTGACCCATTCAGCATAGCAATCTCCACAGTAATTCGGGACACATTTAGCGTTAGGATATACTGGACATGTTGCTCCCTATTGAAAAGTCTTCTTTAAAAAAAGGACGGATCATTTGATTATCGTAACTTACTTCACATGGATCTGCAAAACATGGAACTGGAGGCTTATCGGGTGGACATCGAGATGTATTATCACAGTTTGCTGGCTTACCGTTCACCCCATACCAAACAGCATTGCATCCGCCACAATAGTTAGAGACGCATGTAGCATTTTTGTCACCTGGACATGTGGATTTCTAGAATTAATAAAAAATATATTAAGAACTATTACGATATGAAAAACTCACGGAGCATGGGTCTGCCAAGCAATATACCATTGGTTGGTCAGGTGGACATTTAAGTTTTTCAACTGGTGTTCCAAGTATACCTATAACAAATTGATAATTACATAAACATGTCTAATGAACTTCTCACCTCCGATTACTAAAGTTGAAAGAATAACAGCAGCAAAACATGCTATAGTTCACATTATGTCTTTGTATTTGTTTGAAAATACAATAATTTACCCATTTTACACTTCGTATTTATAGGTACTCATAAACTAAGTTCTTATTTTCGTTCGAAACAATGACTTTGGCAATTATCATGAATATTTATTGCCATTCAGACGTAGTCTACTTTGCCCATAATATACCATTAAATTTTGAAAAGCAAACGCTATATGTATCGAATACGAGAACAGATTTTTACCTTTCTTTCAATCATAAAAACATTTACCGTTTTCTAAAAGCATTCTTTTCAGCTTTCACAGTAATATTTGTATTTGTATATATATGAAAATCATATTATACGTTTGCCTCTTTTATTTTTGAATGTTCTTCTCCTAGATCAGTTATTACTAAGCAGAATACAATTATGCACTTTGTTTTGAAATAGTTTGTTCACTAATATGAGTATCATGAAACACAACAAAAGGGTATAAGGCGAAAGTTTTAAGAAAAAGAAACACAAGACGAAAAAAAATAGAATAGACACATAAGTCTGCACATAAATATATATATTAATAGATAGAGCATACAGGGTGAAAAATATTCTTAAGGAAATCAAGACTATTTTTGGTTAATGGTGTACCAATCTCATTTTTTTGTGACGAAATTGCTACTTTTTGCAATGTAATCCAACCATATCGACTGGAATTCCTAAATGAATTGAAAAAAACACCGAATGCCTTGGATTCTTATTGATTATTCCACTAATAATCGAATTTTAATCTAAAACCAATTATAAAGTATTTGGTAAATATCAGCTAGATCAATATAGAAGTAAATTATTCGAACAAACACGAGGGATAATTGAGTGTGTCGAGTATGCGTGAGTAAGGTACGGAAGACCTTTACAAACAACCACATGAACTAGGATCGTACATCCGTCAACAGAAATTTCTCATATACGAGCAGATCTGAGTTCGTGCCGGGAAACAGTTCAAAGAGCTCTTAGAAGAATCGCGAGTCCTTAGATGTCAAGGCATATGAGTCTATGAGTTTTCGATAGACCTCTTATTCCAAGCGAGTGCTGGCTGCCTCTTTCTTCTCTACTTTTTTTGTAAATTATATATTATTGAGAGTCAGTCCTCCAAGCGAGATAAATATGGACCATAAATAGTTTGAATAGTGTATTATCGATCTTTCTCTTATTTTCGCTATATTACTCTGATCACGAGAAAAACGCTGATCTTCGGTCTAATTAGGAGTAACAGATAACAATCGCCTAATAAAATGACTAAATGGTAAGATTGATTACCAAGAAATAACAGATAGAAGCTGATTAACATATAATAAGAGATTGAAACTGCTTCACAGGTAGTATAGAATCGAAAAACAGGAATAGTATGTAAAAAGAAAAGACGGAAAAAATTTGATTTTAATCGATTTTTTTGTCTCTTTTTTTTATAAAGGAAAGAGCTCTATTTGTTTTTTCTTTGATCTTATCGTTCACAAAACAGGACACGATCAAAAAATCAATGAAAATTGTGCAGAAGTCAAGTATTCAAGGCTTTGCATAATGACTATTGTGCAACAAGGTCCAAATTATAATTGATAACTATGAGATTTATTAATCAATTCAAATTCTTCTCATAGACTGGAATCGATTATAATCAAAATAAGAATCTGTGTCAATCGATGATTAGAATTGTCTAAACAATTAATGTTGATTATAACTTTTACTATAATCTATTTGAAATATTGATTTTGTGTCACAGAATCCCAATTATCAATTTCGATTAGTTTCATAAGACTTTGAAATTTTAATCGATTATAATCCTTAAAATTTTAGTGAGTAGAAGAACTCGTTATTTTTGTTTATTTTTTCAGTAATTGTTTAATTACTTCAAGAGAACAGACAATAGTAAAATGGAAACACATGTCTATTGCTGCAATGTAATATGCTACGTCACAGATGGAATGTAAGATTATCTATTTCCAAAAAGGACTTAAGAGAAAATGTTATTTCACATGTACAGAATTGAAGTAGCGTTATTGAGCTTGGGTAGTAGCTGCTGCTAAAACTCGTTGCTTTTGAACTTCTTGGGTAACTTTAAATGAACGATGAAATATCAATATATGCAATTTTAAAAACACATCAAACATATTACAAGCTAATGGAAATTCTCTCTTCATACGTTTGATATATATGGACCTCAAGATGTGTCCATATCCCATGAGTTTCTTTAGCTAGGCAAGCACTTGAATGCTTGCATCAGTTAGATGCTCATTCAAAGCAGCTCATACGCTAAATTCATGACAACCATACGAATAAGTACGCTTGAAACAATTGAATAGAATAAAACAATAAAAGATTTTCTTCTCAGCATAGAAGAATGCTTCGTCTCATTGAGGATGTGTCTAAATCTAGTTACTTACATAAATTTTCAATAAATAACACTGTCTGTTACATACTTTGTTACTTAAACTAGAGTTTTTACCATGAACCGAACCATTTTGAATGTACAATTGAAGAAAAATAACGAAAAAGGCGTATAAAATATAATAAATATTAGTTTCTCACGATACATATCGTTTTTATAGTTGTAATAGATGACCATATTCAACGGAGTATTTCTGTTTCTGACTTATTATGGGGCTGAACTTTTATTGTTACTCTGTGCAGCTGGTAATGTTTTACATAAAGTATCTCGTTTGTGATCATTCGTACACGGGTTTCAACAAAAAAAAGAAACCATTGAACAAAAATTCAAGTGCCTGAATAAGAATGTTAAGCAATGGAGCAAAAACTTCTAGAATCTGAACTTCCTAAAAAGCCCTAAGTCTTGCCTCAGAATGTGTACTTATCACATGAATTTCTTGCTCAAGATACTCAACAAATTCATGAGCATGAAAAAACTTCGACCAAGAAAACCTTCGATGCCTGAGAATGGATTTTTTAGTATCCATCTCTATAATAATAACCAAGTTTGGTATACTATTTCGATAGCAATACTGATTGAAGTTACTTTGGATCTAATAACGATGTTGGTGGTACTTTTCACTGTTAACAAATTTCTACTATACTATTCAAAACTTAGCATAACAATTGACTGAAACAAACACAACAGAACAAAATTTAATTTCTTTTTCTTAGTTCCTTCATGTATTTAGAAGGTTAAAAGATGTCAATGATAGATGTTATTTTTTGAAGAAAAAGAGTGACATTAGATATTTTATCAACATGCTAGGACCTGCTGACTGCATCGTTCGAAGAACATTTTTCTTATCAGCGATTCACTAACGATGTATTTGGACGAATATGAATGAAAACTAAAAACTGTTGGCCACACTGCCAAAAAAAGAGATTTCGTTTTAGAGTTTTAATGAAAGACTGCTCTTGTAACCTATAAATCGTGAAAGAGACTGCTAGGCTTCGTCCCTTCTAACGTGTAGAGTTTTAGATTATGTTTCAAAAAAAACAACTTTCTAAAAAGAGCCTACTTATTCAAATATACTACTTCCGTTGTACTATATTACAGTTCATTAAATAGATAGATCAAAATAAAAAAGACAAAGCACACATTTCATCAACAAAAGAAAAAAAACATAACCTATTAGAAAGTTTTCCCTGTTTGAATACATCGTATTTTAATGAGTAGATAATAGTTAAGCAAAAAAATTAAAATTCAATATCAATGGTATTCGTTAATCTCATATAACTGCTGCGTAAAATATGTATCTGCTCACGTATCATAATCTTGAGGTATTTCAATACTATATTTATATTCGAGTGATGCATTCAATTCATTACCTATGTAAGAATGCTCTTTCAAACATGCTAACCTTGAAAATTTCATTGAAGATTGTGTAAAAAACTATTTACAGCAAGTGTCTCAACGTTCCGACATGTTTGACATTCTCTTATCCAAACATCCAGTATTGATGATTCCTTAGTTAGATAAATAAAATTAGCAACGACCGAAGCAATAACATTGAATAGCTTCGATGAAGAAATTCATGAATACTAAACCATTGAATCTGGTTTTGTATAAAGATCAAATTCATTTGTTTTCAATAGAAAACAGTCTTAAATTGTACCAAAATATTTTGCCTTTGGTACCTCTTTTTCGACTGTACGTTTTGATAAACGAAAAATGTCTTTATATTTCTGTCTTATCATGATGTTTTTTTTTGTTAAAAAAAAATCATTATAAAAAATATATATATTGATGAAAATAGTTAACTTGTGGTTCTACATTGTACTTTTCGTCCATCGCATGTGAACCATTCAGCATAGCAGCCTCCACAATAATTTGGAACACATTCAGCGTCAGGATATTCTGGACATGTTGCTCCCTTTTGAAAAATGTTCATGAAAAGGAAAGTATATAAATTGGTCATTGTATCTTACTTGACATGGATCTTTTTTACATCGAACTTTAGACCGACCGTGTGGACAAGTAGATTTTCGAAAACATTTTGCTGGTCTACCATTAGCTCTGTACCACACAGCATTGCATCCACCGCAATAGTTAGAGACGCACTTAGCATTTTTATCACCTGGACATTTTGATACCTAGAATTGATAAAGTATATTAAAAACTATTAAGATATAATGAACTCACCAAGCATGGATCTACGAAACAATTCACAATTCGTTTACCAGATGGACATTGAATCCTTTCAGCTGATGTTCCAAGTACACCTATAACAAAATGATACTAAAATAAACATTTCAAACGACTTATTTACTACCGCTCAGTAGCATTGAAAGAATAACAACGGCAAGATATACTACAGCTTGCATTATGTATTGGTGATTACTTGAGAATAGAATAATTTATGTTTATTCACACGTGTTATTTATCGGTTATTGTAAACAAGTTTTTTTTTTCGTTTGCAAAAACGAATCTAAAAATTGTCACTACCTATTTATTGTCATTCAGGTGTAGTCTATGTTGTCGCTGACGGAGAATAAAACTTTAAAAGTGAATATTATATGTATCCAATAGGAAATCAGATTTTACTCATCAATCATAAAAATATTTTCCTTTATCTAAACGTATTCTTCCTAGCTTTCACAATAATATTTTAATGTGTATGCATATGAAAATCATATTATACGTTTGCCTATTTTGTTTGGGATGTTTTTCCTACTTCAATCATTAATAATCAGATCACGATTACACATCTTGTGTTTTTTTTTAGTTGTTTGTTCACAGATAACGCACAAAGAAAGATATACGACAAAATTTATAATTAAGAACAATAAACATCACAAGAAAAAAAAGAAAATACGTTACATCTGTTCTGTACACACACAGATTGAGAATAGACACGTAGATGTGTATGTAAATATAAGTATGAATAGATAGACAATGCCGAGTGAAAAATATTCTTCAGAAAGTCAAGATTATTTTTCATTACCGATCCAGAAACCTAATTTTTGTGTGAGAAATCGCTACTTTTTTCATTATAATCGAACTAACCCTGTAAGTCCAAGATTATTTCTATTGGAGTACATTCAAGTACACTATGAGATTAGCTTATTTTAGACACAAATGCATGACATCCTTTATAGATGAATGAAGAGAATTCTAGGACATTCTAGATTACTTGATTCCCAGAGATTGTGTACTAGTTTTTATAAACTAGGTTGTGAAAAATCATTATAAAATATATGCAGCTTTCTTGTCACAATGGAGCTCAAAAGGTTCACCTGTGCAGTTCGTAATGTTTTACTTAAAATATTTCGTTGATGGTCATCTTCATATGCGTTTGAACAAGAATTTGAGCATGTCAATAAGAACGTTAAGTGATGAAACAAAAAAATTCAAGCACCTGAGATTCATGCCTATCACAGAACGTTTTTGCTCAAGATAGTCAAGAACTTCATGAGCATGAAAAAGAAGTCCGACTAGAAGAACCTGTAACACATTAGAAGCTTTTCGCTTAAATACATGAAACAAGAGCATTGTGTGCGAATAGACTTTTTTGTATTAATATTTATGATAATATCCAAGTTCAATATAGATAATATTTCGCTTTCCTTGTTGTAGAGAAGTATCGTTACTGAGTTATAAATATCTGCAAAAAACAATTCATAGGAAACAATAGTCTATCGAGAAATTCTTTCTTTAATGAAAACATATTGTAGAATCATTTCAATATTTTTTGCAGCATTATCTGAAAAAAAATTCTTAAAACTCTCTATACAAAAAATACTTTACTATGGTCATAGGTCCCACTAGACGTACTACGTGTTCACATAAATTACACAAGAAATGGTCTTTTTAAAATAGGAATATATTCAATAAAATCCGGTTGTGGCTTAATTAAAAAACCTCTTTCTTTTGGAAATTCAGAAACGTTTTCCTTTATCACAAAACAATACATTATTATTTAACGAACACATTTCTTCAGCTACACAGATTAAAGTTTGCTCTATAAAGTATTCCTTCTGAGTCTGAGAACATATTTCTTTTATACTATTCAAAACTCAACATCAGCAACTGACTGAAACAATCTTGAATGAACACAATTAAATTTCTTCTTTTTTTTTTTATAGTTCTTTAGCTATTGAAAGGTTAACAACAATTTTCTTGTCAACGATTGCCAAACGATAAGACCGAATACAAGATTATGAGTCTGCTAATGGGTCGAGGATTTTATATCGTGTTGAAAAAACATTTCTTCTCAGAAAGAACCTACTTATTCAAATATACTACTTCCATTTTGTACAATCATAGCTCCTTAAATAACTAAAGAAATGTAAAAAAGACAAAACACACATTTCATTAACTACAAAATAAAATATAACCTATTACAAAGTTTTCGTTCTCTGATACATCGAATTATAGTGAGTAGAAAATAGTGAAAACAAAAAAGCGAAGTTCAACACCAATGGCAGTCGATAAACTCTCATAATGGCTATATGAAAATAAGTATCGGCTCATGTATCATATTCTTCAAGTATCTCCATACTTTATTTATATTTAACTGGTTGTTTTAATTCATCTTGTGTTTAAAAAAGCTGTTTAAAACATAATAACCTTGAAGATTTCGTCGAAATTTATGTACAAAAAAAATATTTATAGAACGTATCTCGATGTTCGGAAATTTATGACATTTTCTTATCTAAACATCCCATATTGATGAGTCGTTAGCAATAGAATTAAAACTAACAATAGCATCAGCAATCAAATAACGTGACGTTAAAAAAGATTCAAAACCTCAATGTTTAAGTGCAATAATATTGAATAATGTTGATAAAGAAATCCATGAATAATCAACAATTGAAATTGGTTTCGTATAATGAATAGATTCATTTATTTCTAATGGAAAATGCTCTTGTAGTGGGTCAAGATATTTTGATTCAGGTAAATTTATATGTTGAGCATTTTCTACTATACTAAATGAAATTGTAAATGAAGATTGTAAAGATGTGACCATGGTAAAAAATATGACATACTTGTTTGCTGATGAAGTCTTTTTTATAACTACTTTTATCTTTTCAACTATCTGATTTGATAAACGGAAAATATTTTTATGTTTCTAGCTGATTATGATGTTTTTTTTCCTTGAAAAAATTTATTATAAAAAAATGAATATATTGATGAAAATAGTTAACTTGTGGTACTACATTGTACTTTTTCTCCACTGGATTTGAACCATTCAGCATAGCAGCCTCCACAATAGTTTGGAACACATTTAGCATCAGAATATGTTGAACATGTTGCTTCCTATTGAAAAGTGTTCATTAAAAGGAAAGCATACAAATTAGTCATTGTAACTTACGTCGCATGGATTTCTAGGACATTGAGGTCCAACTCGACCAGGTGGACAATCAGATTTTCCATAGCATTGTGCTCGTTTACCATCAGTTCCAAACCACACAGCATCGCATTCACCGCAATTGTTGGTGATGCATACAGCGCTTTCATCTCCTGGACATATTGATGCCTACATTTAATGAAATATATATTTGAAACCTATTATGATATATAGAACTCACAGAACATGGATCTGGATCGCAATTTACCATTGGTTGACCAGATGGACATTCAAACGTTATGACCGGCATTCCAGATACACCTATAACAAAATGATATTATAATAAACTGTGCTAATAGATTACTAACTTCCGATTACTAATGTTGAAACAATAGCAGGGATAATATATCCTATAATATGCATTACTTTTTTTTCGTATTTATTTGAAAATACAATAATTTATTGTTTTTAATACTCCATATTTATAAGTATCCATAAATTATATATTTTTCTTTCGAAAAAATCGCTTTGACGAACGACATCATCCAATAAGAAATTAACTTATACTTATCAATTATGAAAATATTTACCTTTTTGTAAAAAATCATTTCTATCTTTCTTAATCGTATTTTTTCATTTATGCACATGAAAAAGAACGTAATTGCTTGTCTCTGTCATTTGGCTTTTTCTTTCTCTAGTTTAATCATCACTAATAACAACACAATCACGCAGTTGACTTTTTACCACTTTGTACATTAATATATTATCATGATGCGCAAAAAAAGAATGTATGACGAGTTTGTCAAGAACATAACAAGAAATAGAATAGTTTACATCGAATCTATATACACGCACATTCAGAATAGACACATAGATCTGCACATAAATACAAATAAAATAAATAGGCAACATAAAAACCTCCTTTATTTTGACATTTGTTTAAAGCAACTGTTTGGCTGTTTCTAGAAGATAGACACGAGTAAAATATACACATATGCCCACTGCAACAGTGTACGTCATATGTTATGTGATGGATAAAACGAGAGATTATCTATTTAAAAAAAGAAAAGACAGAATGCTTTTTCATATCTGAAACATTGAACAATTGTCGTTGAAATTGTTGACTAACTTTAAATGAACAACGAAATAACAAAACATGGAGCTCTAAAAATATGTCACACAAATTAAATTCTTTGAAACATTAAAAGACTTCGCTTGAATAAATGAAAAAGAAGATATTTAAGAAGACCCTCTCTGAGAACTTTTTTCCAGCATGTAGTATGTCCATTATAATATCTAAGTTCAGTATAGATAATATTTTGCTGTGATCTTTATAATGATATATGCGCTCCGTAGTGGCAGAATTCAGAACTTTTTGTTACTTGATTCTATGACCTTAATACGTTTGTGTTCTTCATCCTTTATCGTTATTTCTGGTACCAAATAAAAATTGTATTTAGATTCTAATTTTTCCAGCACAGTGTTGTCAAGCGTCTGAATTTCAAGTAGAATTATTGTGCATTAAACACACTTATCCCTAGAGAATTACATTTAAGATAAAATAGCAACATTCACAAGTTTTTTAAAGATTGAAATTAACAAATCTGACATATTCGATTCCTTCAATCTTCATTCCATCTAATATTTCATGAAGTTGTTTTGAATATGTATTATCAAAATCTGGTTAAAATTTTCTTTTTTCATGTAAGAAGCAAATCTGTGTAATTTATGTAATTTATTAGCAAATTTTTATTATAAAGTTTATATATTTTATACTTAAGAATTTATTAAAATCAGCTTCACCTATTTCTTATTCATGGCAATGGATTGGAAGATAACAAACAGGCATTTATTGGATTTTATAAATTTAAGCATACTAATGCTCGCCATGAAGAACAACAAAATCACGTGAATAATCTTTGTGTTCCTCATGTATAAAAGCATTAGTAATTTCAGTTACTTATCTGTTCTACCATTCAGGCTAACCGTGCTTTATTTGGAAAATATGTCGATGCTTAGCAGATCAGCATAATCTGTCACTATTGTTGTTACTTAATATTCATTTTATAATAATTATCGTTATACATGATGAAATACCACTTTGCTGTAGAATCGAAATTCTATTGAGAAAAAAATTCTTAATAGAATTTTGATCAAGTTGAAATGATAAGCGTACATGATGAGACACAGTTTTGTTGGACTAAAAAGAATTCGTAATAGACATATTATTGTTTTGGTTAATATGAATAGGATGTGGATGTAACTCGTGATAAATGTATTTACAAAAGAAAAATATAAAATCGTGCTTGTGAGAATTCTTCATAGACTCAAAATGTCCAGATTCTGCCTTCTATAAGATAATGAGGTCGGTTTACATGAATTTCGGCCCAAGGAATTTTCGGCCCGGACTTTCGGCCCGGTCCGACTGTCCGGTGATTTTTCGGCCTGGGCCGAAAGTCCTTCATGACTTTCGGCTCAGGCCCAAATTCACCTTGTCAATCCCTTAAAAGAAGCCATATTTCTATAACTAGTTGGTACACTTCGTAGTGCTGAGCAGTATGTCGTAGTGCTGAGCAGTACGTCGTAGT